AAATAAAATAAAAAGGGGGGGAAAGTCCTAAGAAGTAAGGATGTCAATGGTCTTTTCAACAACTTCTTATGCCTCTGCGAGTTGGACAATGAATAAGGACAGAAGAAGAATTGATTCCTTTAAATTGTGGTGTTAGTGAAGGGTATTTCTTATGTAACAAATCTGTCCTGGAGGAAGTGTAACCAGTGCTTGCTCCTTGGAGGCAAGCGAGGATGGTGGAATGTGGCCTCAACACATGGGCATGTATGTCATCAGGAAGGAGGTGCTGGTCTTGACAAAAGACATCACCCTGAGAAAGGTCAAGGATCAGAGAAAGAGATGAAGACTCTCAACAAAATGGATTGACACGGTGACTGCAGCAATGGGCTGGAACTTACCAGAGATGGTGAGGATGGTTCGGAATAGGGCCAGGTTAGCAGAAACATCTGCCTTGTAGTTTTCTATCCTGACATCAGACACCGGAAATCTGGCTCCATATGCCTTGTCTCAGGCCAAAACAGCGACACAAGTTGACAGCTGAAGGGTTCAGGTTTTGGACTTTGGGGGCTTGGCTTCAAGCCCTGGTTCTGCCACTTACTACTTATATGACCTTAATCTCCCAAAAATCCCATTGATGTGAGTCATTTCCAATGAACAGTGACCCACCATCAGGTTTCTGAGGCTATAAATTTTTACAGGAGGAAGTTACCCATCTTTCTTCCTTTTAATTAGCAAACTGGTGCATTATCACACTAGGAACTGGGATTAGGATTCCTAGACGTCAGGTGAGTTCAGATAATTCTCTAGATTTCCATTTCATCATCTGTAAATGGCAAAAATACCAGGCTCTATCTCCACAGAGCCATTTGAACAGTAAATGAGGCAACACACATGAGCAGTTACAGAATAAATGTTTGGTGCGTAATAATCATTTAACAGATATCAGCTATTCATGTTTATTTGCTGCTGCTCTTGAAAATATAAATGCTTTTCCCTCTGGAACAAGTTTTGCATTTATAATTAGAGACTGAAGTTTTGAAAACTCCTCAGGAGAAAAATGTAAATGGTGGTTGGGGAAAAAAAAATTAGTCTGTTAACAAGAGATTGGTTTGTTGCTAAGTTACTGCATGCAAATACAAATGGACCTGCATCCTGGGCTGTGAGCTCCAAGCTGGCCCAGATGGGGGTGGGGACGCACAGAGATAAACCAGTACTGCTCGGTGGTGTGCATTTCCCAACCTCCCTCGTCTGTTTCTAGGGCATTTATCACCATAAGCCCTGGTCTCCTAACTTTCCACCACACACTGTTCTACTTTTTGTTTTCCTGATCCTCCTCTCCCCCAGGACTGATGGACAGGCAGCTTCTAGGAAAAACACTCTTAGCCCAAGCACCCTTCCTTCACTCCATCAACCCCCCTTCTCCAAGGCCTCTTGTCTCTCCCTACCTCCTCCCACCATGTTGTTGTTGTTGTTATGTGCCGTTGAGTCACAACAGCCCTAAAACCTGCTCTATCCTGTGGCAACCTCACTGTCTCTGACACACCTACCCTCACTACCCCAGTCACTGAATCAACTCACCTCATAGAGGGTTTTTCTCTCCTGTGGTGTCCCTCCACCCTCCCAAGCATGACGTCCTTCTCTAAGGATTGGTCCCTCCTTGCAACATGTCCAAAGTATATCAGATGAAGCTTCAGAATCTGTGCCTCTAAGGAGCAGCCTGGGTTCACCCCCTCCAGGACAAACCTGTTTGTTTTCCTAGCAGTCCATGGTATATTCAATACTCTTCTCCAGCACCACAGCTCAAAGACTCACTTCTTCTTCTGTCCTCCTTAGTCATTGTCCAATTCTGGCACATAGCAAGTGCTTACAAAGACCATGGCCTGTATCAGGCACACCTTAGTCTCCAGAGGGACTCCATTGCTCTTCAGTACTTTAGAGAGGTCCCTAACAGCATACTTTCCTAATGCAATATGTCTTTTAATTTCCTGGCTGCTGGTGCCAAGAGTGTTGACTGTAGAGCCAAGCAAACTAAAGCTATTACCAATCTTAATCTCTTCACCATCCATCCTGATGCTGTCAATTGGCCCAGTGGTGAGAAACTTTGTGATATTGAGCTTCCATCCATATTGAGGGCTGCAGTCCTTAACCTTCTGCAGCAAGTGCTTCAGATCCTCCTCAGTTTCGGCAAGCAAGGTTGTGTCATCTGCATAACGCAGATTGTTGGTGAATCTTCCATCCATCCTTATGCCACACTTCTCATAGAGCCCAACCTCCCAGATAATCTGTTCTGCATGTAGGTTGAGAAGATATGGAGACAGGACACATCCCTGGCGTATGCCCTTCCCCATTTTTGAACCATGCAATGTTTCCTTGCTCTGTTCTGACGACTACCTCTTGGTCCAAGTATAGGTTTCTCATTAGCACGATCAAATGTTCTGGGATTCCCATTCTCCTCAGAGTCAGCCACACCATAAACCAGGTAAATAGGCATTATCTAGAAACAGGACCAACTCCCTTCAAGAAAGTAAAAGATACCTCATCAACTCTAAGACATTATGGATTTTAAAGCAACTTTGGTGGCTTAGTGGTAAGGAGTTGAGATGCCAAAATGCAGTTCAAATCGACCAAGCTGCTCCTTAGGAAAAAGATGCATAATCTTCTCCTGCACAACTTGTGCCTTTGTTAGCTATGAGTCAGTTCTGACTCAATGGTACATGACAATAACTTTATTTTACATGCAACAGCAATTGTAAAATGTACATTTCGTCCCATACAACACTTCTGAGATCTAAAGACACCTGAGAATCACTGAAATAAAGCAAATATATCTCACCACTTGCCTTCCTTTTGGGGGCTCAGCAGTATTATGTGATCCGGTCTGTCACAGGAAGGCGTTCGTGAGCCTGCAATGTCTCCACTCAAGCGAACCTATGAGTAAGAGTTGGGAATTCTGAGTCTGGCCAGGCAAAAGCAGGTGGTGAGATAGATTTGCTTTATTTTAGTGAATCTCAGGAGTCTTTAGATGGCAGAGATGTTGCAGATCTCTCAGCTGTCTCTCTTTTTTCCCCCTCTCATTATTTTCAGTAGCTAGAATTTCCACCTTTGACCCTTTGTCATTTTTTAATTATTTTTTTTTAGAAAATGTTTCTTTCTTGTGGGAGAGGGACTTATTTTGTCTATTTGTTTTCACTCATGTTTTCTTTGGCGCCTAGATGCAGGAATGACATCTTGGGCCAATCTGCACAGTCCAGACAGCAGTGCAGGAAGGAACCAGCATGTTGTCCAACCCTGGAACACTTAATTGTTGCTTCTCCACCAATGGACGGCCAAACGAACAAACAGATATGTCTTAGAAAGAGCATAACCAAAAAAAAAACACAAAAAAGAAAAAAGAAAGAGCATAACCAGAGTGCTCCTTGCAGGCAAAGATGGCGAAGCTCCATCTCTCATACTTTGAGCATGTTGCCAGGAGAAGTTCTTCCTTGGAAGGGGACATCATGCACGAAAAGGTGGAGGGGGGCCAGAGAAAGAGAGGAAGACCCTCAATGAGTTAGATTGGCACGGTGACTGCATCAATGAGCTCCTGTGTGTCAGAGGTGATATGGCACAGGACAGGACAAGGTTCAGATCTGTTGTTCAGAGTAACACTTGACTCGATGGCACCTAACAGCAATGCCAACATCATCCAAGACTATCCTCCTCTCCTTAATTTTACAGACAGTCACAAACATAAAGGCCGGGAACAGAACTAAGGTCCGACCTGCCTCTAAGAACCTCTATTTTCACCAGAATCACAGTGCTGGCTGCAGTGGTCCTTGGCAATCACATCATTTTATTGTTACTGTTGCTTTGTTTTGTTTGGGCTTCCAAAGAGTTCACCTGATCTTTTTCTTTTCCCCCCCATTACAGAGATGATGGGTCATTGAATCAAATTGAAGGTGAGGCCACTGTGCCTGATGCCAGCGAGCCTGCCAAGCTGGGAGTCAAGTTTTCTTGGTGTGAGTATTCCCTTGTCCCTACAGGATTCAGCGACAGGTTCCTAAAGGCCAGAGGCCTGGAATGGAGCCTCCTATCACACTAAAGTGTCCTCCCTTCAGGTCACAGTCACTTGTTGAGCACTTACTATATGCCATGCACTGGAGAGGCAACAGTGGGCACAGAGACTCAGCCACTCTCCTAATGGAGCTTACATCCAAGTGTGGGTACTAGTGAGTACCCAGACAGTTAACAACAAAACTCAGTTTCTTACTGGAAAAAGCCCAGATAGGATCACACAGAGCATGGCTGGTAGGAGACTCAAGTTAGTCTTGATAAGAGTGGATAATAAAAACTTGTTTCCTAGAGGAAATGGAGTCCCCTCCAAGTTAATAGGCATTAGCAGAACAAAGAGCGTGTGCAGAAGTGTGAAGGCAAGAGATGGCCAGAGGGAAGTAAGTTTGAGTCCAAGCTCTGCCTCTCTGTGTGGGGTGTCCCTGAAGGTATTTCATCATAGCTATTTGCCCCCTAAGTTTCAAACTGAGGAAGGGGCATGTTGCTGTTGTTGTTGTCGTTGTGTACTGTCAAGTCAGAAGCAACCCATAGCTGACTCTGGAGTGTTTTCAGAGGCAGTTCATTGCACGGGAGGAGACTGCACATCCTTCTCCTGCAGAGCAGCTGGTGGCCTCGAACCACACGCCTTCAGGATTGCAGTGCAGCTTCTTCCCACTAGGCTACCAGAGGAATGGGCATGAGTGACAGAGAAAAAGATTCATGTGCTGATACAGACACACTGGAAAGCCCAGCATAGAACTGTGAGACTTTTCCATTGTCAAATGTGCTTGGAAACACTTTTTACTTGCCACAAGAAATACCTCTCCCCAACCACCACCATTGTGGACCCAGTCCCTCATGTGGGAGAAGAGGGCAAGTTCCTCTTCTATGGAGAAAAGTGCTCCTCTCATACATAGGACCATAAACAACTAACTTCACATCTAGAAGTCAGGAATACCCACTCAGTTGTGTGACGATAAACTAGACAGCACACGCTCTGTGAACTGTACATGGCTTTGTAAACATTAGTTTTGCTTGTTATTTCTAAAGAGGAGAAAAATATACTACAGGAAATGGGGTACAGCACATGCAAATCTTTGAACTAATGAGAGGCACAACTGGGTCAAAAACATAGGTTTCCAAACCCTTGATTGTTTATCCCATAGCACTGATCGGGGTGTTGACTGCACAACCCTTACAAGTAAACTTTGATGGGAGCTAAAGAAAGAAACAAGTCGTTGGCTAGGGAAGCAGAGGAGAGAGACATTTTACTCCTGAGAGTATAGGAGATCATGATACAGAGCATTCCACATGTGGAGAAGAGCATGAGATTTAAAGGCCTGGAGGAAGATGCCTAGATTCAGGGAGGGAGGATGAAGTGGGAGCTAAGGTTGAAGGGTCTCAAATGTCATTTTAGAGTTTGAAGTTTCTTGTAGATGCAACAGGAGGTTGTTCCAAGTTTTGTAATAAATAGAATAGAAATGTTTTGTATGAAGAGGAAACCTGTCCCAAATTTATCCTTGAGAGCTAGGCCCTGTGAGAGGAGAGCAGAATGTGCATGGTTAGGGGCGCACAGCGCTAAAGACATATTTTCCCCAAATTTCCAAGAGCTGAAGAGCTCTCAGACTAGGTGGGAATATGCAAAGCAGCTAAAATTCAAAGGTAGGGGATGGAGGATAAATATATGAAGTGTATATAGGCAGGCAGGGCACCAATAGTGTTAGAAAATGCAAGTCAGAATAACACTCAATCTAGGCTCTGCAGTCTCATCCAAGTTTCTGTTCAGGCTTCCTCCAAGTGTCTTGCATTTAGATACAGGTTGAAGGTTAAAAGTAGCCGAGTCCTATGTAGGTGGTCATCTGCACCATCTCCTGATAACCAGCTGGGTCCTTGGCATGCAAAGGAGACACACACAAAGGCTTTAACTTCTCACTCACCATCTCTCTTGTACAGAGGCTTCTCAACATCTTCTTGAATGCCTTGAGATATGATTTTGACTTGGCACATATGGGAATTAATTTTGAGTGGAAGAAGTAGAATCCTCAACCTCTGGAAATCAAATCAGCCCTGCTCACACTTTTGTCTAAATCTTTCGTTCTTATGGAATCAGCATATAACTTTGTCCCATTTGGATGTACTGTCTCTTACCTTCAGCAAGCTGGACTGTGAGTCCCTTGGCCTGAGCCTTGGCTAAGCGAGGAAAATTCTAGCTCCACATGGAGAGAGTAAATCCTCCATCTCTTCACTAACAGCTCCTTCAATCTTGGGCTTTCAAGACTTTATAGATACCATTAGATGAGTATAACCTGTTACCAAATGATTTATCCTAATAAGTGTAGATGGATTTTCAAAGGTCCTACAGTAAAAAAAAAAAAAAAAACCCATAACAGAACATAAACATTGCCTCCTCCATTAGGCTGATTCCGCAAGGAATTGAGTGTTGCAGACTCAAGGCACTGAGGCCCTGCTCTCCCGTTCTTGACTCCACTTAGCAAAGTGATGCTTCCACGTGCACTGGAGCAGCCTTTCGTTCCAGGAGATCTAGTCAAATCTCTAGTTATGGTGCCCTTTCCAAGGCCAGTGTGTACTCAGGGAGAAAGATCAGAGGGTGATTCTTAACTCCAGCCACATCAGAATTGCTCAGAATCTCAACTCATTGTTGTCAAGTGGGAACCAACTCAGCTGAGGCTCCAGTGGGTTTTCAGAGGCTCCAGGTTGCATGGGAGGAGATTGCCCATCTATCTCCTGAGCCTCGAATGGTGCATTCAAACTGCTTGCCTTTGGGCTGGCAGCACCACTCCTTAACAATTAGGCCACCAGAGCTCATAATCACTAGTGAACTTTTTAAAGTACCCACCACAGAAAGAATCTAAAAAAAGAGCAGGGAGAGATAGACTTAGTTTTGGGGGGGGTTTAAAATTTGTTTTTAAATTTTATATTGGCTTGCTTACAAAGTTCACATACACTGTGTTTCACACCATTCCATTCACGTTGTTTCATACAATCATTTCCATTTATTATGTTTTCTAAACTTAATCACCATTGAACTATGCCCCCATTGCCCTGTCTTTCCAGATACCCTCCAGATCTTTCCCATTTCCTTTACTACCTCTCCCTAAAACTCTCAGATTATTCCAATATGAAACCAAAGAACGAGAAATGTAGGCTAAGTAGGACCCCAGAGCCTGTCTTCCTGGGTCCTGGAGATGGAAGTGTCTCGAGTACTGGTCCCTTGTAACGCTGCCCTCCTCTGCTTCTCAGTGATGCCTATTTCACCGTACTGGGTCCTGGACACCGACTATGAAAACTACAGCGTCGTGTACTCCTGTGTCTCATTTATTCAGCTCTTTCACTTTGAGTATGCGTGGATCTTGGCAAGAACTCCAAGTCTCCCTCCAGAAACGGTGTCCAACCTAAAAGCTAGCCTGACTTCTTACGACATTGCTGCAGATAAAATGACCGTCACAGACCAAGCAAACTGCCCCAACTCCCCGCAGTGAAGCTCTAAAGGAAGGCCTCCTCTGCTACTCCTTAGTACTCCTTTGCTTTGCCTTCCCCGCCTCACCCCACCCCATTCCCCATAAAAGCCAATCAGCATCCACAATGGGCCATTGCAAATACCTGGAGATAGACGGTAGACGCCATTGGAGGAGAATTCAAGAAAATGGGCCCTGAACACTTTGCTATGTACCACTACCCGGTCACCTTCCTCGATTAACAATAAACTTGCTGGCTTGCTAAACTCAGTGTAAGATTCTGCATTGAGTTAATTGCGTGATTGAGTGAGTGAGGGAGTGAGTGTGTGAGTGGGTGAGTTGTTACATTAAAACAAATTAATTTATTATTTATAAATCAATTTCTAATTTATTAATTTAATTATAAACAAATGTTTGGAAACGCTTAAGTACTTACGTTAGTAAACAGAAATAGCCCTAAACTGTCGTGATTTAAAGGAAAGACTCCTGTTCTCGTTGATGGCAAAGGCACACTCAGAGAGACCTGAATCCAGGTACTCCCATCCTGCAGTAGATGCTTCTTTGAGAGAATCATTTGCAGAGTGTCCCACCGGGAGTTTCCTGCACACTTTCTCTTTCTCCTCAAAAAGTTCTTAGAGACAGACTGAATAATGGGACCTCTTCAGGATCAGGGGAACGAATAAGAGAATCTGTGAGTGAGGTGGACACGTGAGGATTTTGTTTTTAAGAAAAAATCATTTGTGTGTATGAATCTTACATTTAGGGGATATTTACTGAGATCTCACTGCATTCTACACTTTGAAAAATAATTCTTGTCCTCCCAGAAGCTCATAGTCTGGTGAGGGAAGCAGACAGGGAAAACTGCTACTGGGATCCAACACGAAGAGTGCGAAGGTAGAGGAGGCAGCTGGGGGTTCAGCTGGGTCTCTGCACACAGTGCTGCCCAGCCAGGCCTCTAGAGGGCGCACCTTTAGGGAGCCAGGAACCAACTTGGGTGACCCTTAAAATCACAAAGGCATCAGAATTACCTCCCCTGTGCTTCCTTTCAGCCCACACACTAACAATATACAAGAGTTTTACGAGTTGAGTAGGAAATTAAGCCTCTTTATTGTTTTTTTTTCTCCCCCCACCTTAACGTGCATATAAAGTATTAATATCCTTATGCACTTGAGACCCTTAAAATTGAGGAAAAATTTCAAGGCTCTTAATTTGCATCAGTTTCAGCTAACTCAAGAAACCCGGGGAAGCTCTGGCAGCCTAGTCCATAGATATTTGTACTGTTAACCTAGACTCTTGACTCTCTGACAGTTCAAATCTACCAGTAGCTCCACAGAGGAACATAAGTATTCTCTTCGATGCCATTTACAGCCTCAGAAAACCAGTAGAAAGAAAGTCAGCTATGAGCCGGTTCTGACTCAATGACAATAAGTGAATGAATAAGTGAAACAAATAGGACCTCAAAGTATAGCTCCCAGTTCAAAAGGTCAAAAATCTTTGGACAAAAAAGACAGTAAGGGGAAAATAAAGAAATCCTTACTCTCTCTTCTTACAGCTCTAGTCACCACACCAGAGGGCACTTTCCTAACACACAGTTATTCCTAAGGATGTCCAACTGGCTGGCTGTCACCCATCCTTTGATACAAAACAGGTTAATAGTGATGTTTGATGTTACTGTTGACCTACCCTTAGCTCATGGCAATGTCACATGTGTATGTTGTTGTTGTTATGTGCCTTTGAGTTGCCTGAAACTCATATCCTATGTACACAGCTCTGAAATCTGCCTTATCCTGAGCCAACCTTATTATGTCTGACACACATACCCCCCAGTACCCCAAACACTGAGTCAATCCATCTCATTGAGGATCTTCCTCTCATGTGCTGTTCCTCTACCCTTCCAAGCATGATGTCCCTCTCCAATGACTGGTCCTTCCTTGCAACATGCCCAAAGTATGTCAGTCAGAGCTTCAGAATCCTTGCCTCCAAGGAATAGCCTGGTTTTACCCTCTCTAGGACATACCTGTTTGTTTTCCTATCATCCCTAGTCATTATCATACAGCTTTCTGATGCATAGCACGTAACTGTGAAGACCATGACCTGGATCAGGTGCACCTTAGTCTCGAGACTGACATCGTTGCTCTTCAGTACTCTGGAGAGGTCACCGACAGCAGACTTTCCCAATGCAAAATGGAACAAAATGTTTTCTGGTCCTGCCCCATCTTCACAATCCTTGGTATGTTTGAGCTCACTGTTGTGGCTACTAGGTCAATCAATCTCATAGAAAATTTTTCTCATTTCAGCAGCCCTTTGGTTTACCAAGCATGGTGTCTTTTCCAGCTTTTAGTCTTTCCTCATGACATACCTATATCAGATAATATTCTCTTCTGATCTGCAAGGTTTTCGCTCGCTAATGTGAAACTTATACTTGGACCAGGAGGCAGTCATCAGAACAAAGCAAGGGAACACTGCATGGTTCAAAATTGGGAAGGGCGTACGCCAGGGATGCATCCTATCTCCAT